CCCACACGAGGTTACGGCCCCTGAGAAGATGTTCATCCTACGCCATGAGGGCAGTGACGTCAGCCCCGCTTCGGTTGTTGGAAACAGGCGCAATTTTTAACCCTTCGCCAACGCGGGAAGGCGAATGGGATTAAATACAATACCGAGCTTAGCGTGACTGCGATACAAACCGACAACAGTGCGTGCCGCAGTAGAAGGTACGAACCCCACACCCCAGGGGCGAAAAATTAGGGAGATTCGGTTAAAAAAATAGAAAGAAAGTACAATATTCCCAGGAAAAAAATGTAGGCTAATCAAAGACGAGGTTAGAAAGATCAAAGGGGAAGCAACAACACGAGTAAGTCCCCTTGAATTAAAACAGCATTGTTTAAAACATGTAAAAGTGATTACATTTTGATTGAAACAGCATATGTCAGGTTAATGTTACCAATCGTATACGTTAGGTTATAACTATAAATAGTAAATTATTGATCTTTTAAAGTGAGAATTTGAAGTATGTCTAGGCCTACTAGTGTAATTTTAAAAAAGTTTAACTGCAAGACACGTTCACTGTGTTGATCCCCCCCCCCCCCCCCCCCCCACGAACACACACCAACGCCACGGCTGTGAACCCAGTGCGAGCTGCTAATTACAATGATAACAACTTTCTGATTCCGCGCAAGGATACACACAAACAAAACTCGGTGTCCACCAGGCACCGTTACGTCATAATGTAAACAAAAGCCACTGCGTATGTTGCGGGAATTCCCAAAGCTGACATTAACCGAGTGGAACGCTGAAACCACACGTCATGATACCTCGAGGCTAAGCCGAGTTCGTACGGTCGAGGGGGAAAATGACGGAGTATGAAATACCGCTGACTCTCCCGCCTCCCACCTACCAATGTGGCCAGATTTTTGTGCAATGATACGGACATGAGACAAGTCATTCTAAAAACGTAAATAATGACAAATGGAACGTCATTACAAAAAAATACGCCTTATCTGTACGATTCTTTAAAAAAATCGTAAATTACCATAATTAAATATGTTTTGTCTTATGCTACAAAGTGCTTCGACATCTTCTTTAGATTTTAACAAGGAAAAGCCACCTGTATAAAAATGTTTAATTTAACTTAACTTTGATGTAGTTGACAAGCGTACTCCGCTAGGAAAAGACGCACTCAGAGGCGTAGCGAGGGGGGGGGGGGGTGTGCGGATCGCACCGGGTGACACCAAGGCAAAAAAAATAGCAAAATATATAGAGAAAAACTTGAGGGGGTGGTGCAAATCGAAAGTTTGAGGAGGGTACAAATTGAAAGTTTGAGGGGGGGGGTGCAAATCGAAAGTTTGGGGGGGGGGTGTGCAAATCGAAAATTCGAAGTTTGTCCCCGGGTCGCTACGCCTCTGGGGAGTGACACCATTAAGTGCCGCACCGGGTGACACCCGACCAGTGTTTCTTCCAGACTTTTTTCTCCGGGGGGGGGGGGGGCACTTAAAATTTTCGGGGGGGGGGGGGGGGGCGGTAGACTTTCTTCTGGGGTCGGACACTGTTAAAAGTATATATTTTTTATATAAATTATATAAATTTCATTTCGTTTCCTTTCGCCCCCCCCCCCCCCGAAGAGATGCCTTGAAGAAACTCTGCACCCGACCTCGCTACGCCACTGGACACATTGAGTAGCTAGCGTGTGAACCAGCTCATAACATAGGTACACTTACATTTACAATGAGAAAAAAAATGTCTTACATTATTTACTTAAAACGGATATGTCGTAAACATAGTACAACTACAATAGAGAAAACAACGTATCCAATTGAAAAAGAATTAATGTTATTGGTAGATTATTATAGTGACGTTGATAGCTATAGTATGGGATTTATTTAATATGAACATTTCTTGATGGGAGATTAAAAAATTAAAATATTAGTAAGTCCCTTTTAGACAATCGACTATATAACAATTAGGTTAAAATTAAAAGCAAAAAAAAAAGCGTAGAAATAAATTAGAAATAAAGGCGGGTCAGAAACTGATTGCGAGATGCGTTAGTCATGATGATCGTTCAATTAATTATTCAAGAAGCCCCCCCCCCCCCCCAAACGTCGTGTGAAATGAAGGCAAATGACATGACATCGTGTCATTGGCAAGTGGTTTATTTGATAAACAAAGCCACGGGAACACGGCGTCAGGGGGAGATCAGCGCACCGGAAGTGTGGGCCAGAGTGGTCGGTGGTGACTGGTCTACGTAAGGTCAATTGGATCGGGGAAATGTGACACTTCGGTGGGGGTCGGGGAAATTTGATACTAGCCTCAGGGGGGAGGGGATTTCACAATCGTCTGGAGAGAGGGGGTGGGAGGGATTTGACAACATAGCCAGGGGTTAATGAAAAACTTTTGTCTCAGCCACGACATGACACAGCGAGGGTCGGCCGTCTGAGTGTAGACCGTTGTGTAGTGTTCCCCCCCCCCCCCAACTTAGATGTTAAGTCGACTACTAAGATGTCAACACGTACCTGATTATAGTGTTATTTATACCATCTTATGGTGTCAAATATGTCAGATGGTAAGTTTACAAAAAAAAAAAAAACAACAACAACAACAAAAAAAAAACAACCCCAAAATTCTAAGGAAGTCAACACCTGATTTGTGATGCGTGTTTACAATCTTATGATGTTAACATGTATGTGACTAGTGTTGTTTGTACCAGCTTATGGTGTCAAATATGTCAGATGGTAAGTTTAAACAAAAAAAAAACATCTTATGACGTCAACACCTGATTTGTTATGTGTGTTTACAATCTTATGATGTCAACAAGTATACGATTGTAGTGTTGTTTATACCAGCTGAATACAGTGTTAGTGTTATATTAAGGAATAAACCACAAAGGTGTAAATACTGACAGAGGACACAGATAAGTTTGACTCCCGGTACACGTGAGCTTATACCGCCTTATAGGGTTTTAGAGAAGTTTTATTGAGCTTCGTAACAAAGCAGATCTATGCTAGGTTAGTTAGAGACTAGAGAATGCACATAGACTCTAGTTCTGTTTAACTTAACACAATTTCTGACGACGGGCTGATCAAGAAAGAGGATCCAAATCTTTCCTTACCTTGACTGATATAGAAAAAATACTGACCACATAGAGTCACGAATACGATTAAGACTCGAACTAAAGCCTGAGTGAAACATGAGACCAGCACTCAACACAAAGAGATGTGACAGTATTTACACTAGTGGGGGTAGCCTAGCTTACATCCAGTCTCATCACAGTTGTCCCCCCGGGAAATAGTCGTAGCTATTTTTATCACTGACGTAACACTTGTTTTATATGTACTGCACATAATAGGCCTAGGGCCTAATGTTCATCTCTTTATGTGACATCGGCATTAAGTTAGATAATGTGTCCAGTAGCATGTCCCAACCTCTACTCAGCTAAAGCCAGCTACCCACCCGGAATACGAGACTTGTTTTTTATCGAAATTTCCAACACAAACTTGTTTTTATTTGAAAATGTATTGGGTAAGGAAAATAGGCATTCCCTTATTAACACATAATTATATTTATCCAGCATTAAAACATCACTGGGAGCCTTCTTTTTTAATATGATGCTCGATACATTTACTGCAGAAGTAAAAACTAAGAAGCAAAACAAAATGTTGGAGTTGGATTTGGTTTAGCGTTAGATACTTGAACAGGTTATATTAGAGAGAGCCTTCTCAATCTCATTCATCTAGCCAAAGCAAAGTTCATATCTTGCCACGTCACTGCGTCTGCCCATTCAAGCAAACGTATGCCAACAAAATTCAGTCACGAAGAAACTAAAATAACATTAGTCTTTACATATCAACAAGATGGTCTTGAAAAAGCGCCTCATTACCCCCCTTGGCGTAAGTCATTTCCCATTTCATCATTAGAAACGTGCCTTTACCTATGCCAGGTTTTTCCGAGAGTAAAAAAGGCAACCCCCACTGATTGATTGCCTGGTTGTCTGCAAGCTAGAGACACGTAATTCTAGAGAGAGTTTGTGCACGTCTGTCTACCTTGTCTGGCTGTCTTAACTTTTGTCTGCTACAATAATTACTACGTGTAATTAATTTTAACATTAACAGGCCAGTTAATTGTACCATAATAATTGACCGACAAGATTAATCAGCACGTTAAAAATATAGATTGGAGTAAGTAATTGTTTATAATTAGTTTACTGAAAGAAAATCATTTAATTTAAACTAGAGGATACAAATTATTATAGATTTTTGCAAAAATTTAAAGAGAAATCTTTTTATTCACAATGTAGCTAACAAAAATAATGTGCATCCTTTAAACTACAGAACAGCAGCTTTAGTTGGCTTTAATGTTAAAAATTGAAATTTCCTTTGTATAAGCAATAATGATCACATGAATGCTAAAAAATGAAAGCTCGGGCAAGCATGTACAAACATGTTACATCTGGCAGGATTTTTAATGCCTAGGCTGGCAAAACTTTTCCATAGAGAAACATTTTTTTCTATACATCAAAACTAGTGCAACACACTAAGCCCTAGCTGTCTATCATATTGAACAAAATATATTTGAAAAACGGAATTAAGTTTGTTCTGTTGGTAAGATTTTTTTCTAACGTTATCTGGTAATATTTTCAACAAACTTAAGTGATAGTATTAAGGTTTGCTACAAAGTAAAAGCACTATTTTACCTGGGAAACACATTTTCTTTCTTTAATAACACAGGAAATAATGAGTTTTGTTATATTTTATTAATGAGCTATTATTGTTTTACATTCAACATAGATGTTTGTTATATAATGGTGTTGGAGCCGCTACAGTTAGAATGGCTTGTTGTTCCTTAACTTTAATCTCCTTACAGTTTTACCATGTGACCCCAAAGGTGACTGGCTAAGCAGTACACAATATTTCATGCACAGAAGATGAGTTCATTCAATAACCAAAAGCAGTTTGTTAATCTAAAAGCTGCTAAACAAAATTTGAAATGTAGGAGATGTAAGAAAGTCATGAATGAGTACATACCTGGGCTAGTACTCCGCTGATTGGCGCCAGTTTGGGTGGCGTTACATCCAGGTCCTCTGAAAAACTCTGGCTCTTGCGTTCTACACCAGGTTCCTCAGTAAAGTCTATGGAGTCGTTGCTGTAGCAGACCCGTGAGCCCTGAGAACCAGCATTGAGCAGGCTCATCTTCAGGGTGGGGGGCGACCATGTTTTTCTCCTCATGTGGTGCTGGTGGTTGTACCGGGGCGGGAGCGGGTACGGTGGCTCGTGGTTAGGCTGGTTGTGAGGGTGAGGCTGATGGTAGTGGTAGTTGCTGTGGAGGTTGTTTAATGGGTGGTGTGTCTGGAAGGTGTTGACAGGCGCTGCTCCGCCAGACCAGTTCTGCTTGCTCTGTTCCTGGTGGTAGTTTGAGTTCTTCTGGTGCATGCCTTGCTGGTACTGTGGCAGATTGTTGTTGTTCACTTTGTTATTGTTGTTGTTGTGGCTGTTTATTTTGTTGCTGTTGTTTTTCCAACCTGGATACGCCTGTTTAGCATATGGGTAGGATGGGGCCTCTGTGACAGGGCTGAAGTAGGCCTTCTCCCTGGGGGCGTGCTCAGGGTGTGGGGCAGACTTGCGCTGCCCGTAGCCATAGTTTGTTGAGGAGTACAGAACCTCCTCCATGCGAGGACTGATGGGTCCCCTGTCCCGTGAACCAGAGGAAATGACGCTGTTTGTTCTAGAGTTTGCCTGCAGTGGTTCTTGCTCTTCTCTCATGGCTAGCGGGGTCTGGTTCTCTTTACCTGACATGGGAGAGGTGGCGCTCAGTGTCCGAGGGGTGTACGAGAGGTAGCCCTGCTTGGCTCGAGGTGTTATGTGTGAGTAATCTGCATACTGGTCTTGGCTGTCCTCCTCAGGGTCAAAGATGTACTTGACCTCATGTGAGAAGGTGGAGTAGCTGGAGGCTGGGCTGTAGACCTCACGGCTTTCTGTCTCTCCCATGGCAAGGTTGATCCCTCCCTCCACAACAAGGGACATGACTTAAAGCCTGCAGTCTAATAGAAAATTGTTCAAAAATTAGTTCAGTTTGAATTAAAAAAAAAAATCAACATTATAAAATTACATATTAAACTGTAAATGTTGTGCTTCCTATAATAATAAATTTAATTTAATCACAAAATATAAAATATAAACAATCAATTTTTGAATCATGTAGTTTTCTATTTAGCATGAGCTATAGAGGTCTAAACAGTTACATTGTTAACCAAAAAATACACCAGTTTAGTTCAAGAATGACAAGAATGTGAAATCAGAAAATATATAACACAACAGCAAACAATCAACATACTTTAAAGACAGGAGCCATTTAAATACAGAAACTACTTATAAGATTCTCTGAATGATATCAGAGTAGAAACAATTAAAACCTTCAATAACTTTCTAAGTGCCTGGACACAGCTAAAACACAAACACTCAGGGAATGACTCAAGCAAACAAACTTTAAACAAGCAGGGCAAATCTTCAAAGAAAAGGCTGAAATTTCTCAAACAGCTCTTGTACAAGCAAAGACAAGATGACACGAGGAGGCACTATAAATAGAGTTCTAATGGAAATGCGTTGGTCACAATCCAGAAGAAACACCAGTGAAGAATAAGAAAAAATTCCACAGGTATTTTTTAACCACCCAATTAGTTGTGCAGCATTTGAAAGCAAATGCATTTTACACCTGTTACAATTATGCTGCTTTTAACTTAATGGCAACTAGAATGATCAGCCAGGAGTTAAATAAAATGCAACGAAAAGGATTATAGAAAATTAAATGGGAGTTAGGCCCCACATATTTCTGAAATTAATGTTTTGAATAACCTTTTTTTTTTTAAATACTCCAAATAACTATTAATTATTTTATTCTTAAAACTTATATTCCAAGTTCAAATTCTTGAGCAATTTTGGAACATTTTTTTCAGTAAAACTAAATTACTCCAAGCTATTTAAAAAAAAAAAAAACTATAAATATTAGCTTAAACATTAAAGTAGAGTTGAGATAGATGCTGTTATTTTAACAAATCAAAATTACTTTGCATTAACTTAAATCTGCTATACATTTTTGTTTTTTACCTTTAAATTTGCTGTAAAGTGAAACAAGAAAAATTCAGAAAAAGTATCAAAATCCCAACTTACCATTTTAAAGTTTAGAATATACCAGACTCAAAGTATAAAACTTATTTTAAAAACTTCCAACACAATTAGTATAAGTAAATAATGTCCACAGTTAGTATAAGTAGATAATGTCAAACTTATGTACACTATCAATTATGAAGATTTTCTTCATCACAGCAGTTTAAATATAATGTGATGCAAAGGAATATAACCCCACTGTGTAAACAACACAATGTGCATACCAAGACATCGCACTAAACAGCTAGAGAATGTGAACTGTTGAACATCTATCTACACAGCAAGCAGCCAGAGACTGCAAATATGAGCTTGTGCAGCAGAAGATGCATGCACTAGTCTCTCACAGTCAACATTAAGCCAGGTAAGTGGGGGGGCTGGGGAGGGTAGGAGATGGGGAGGAACACCATGGGAAAGTAGGTAAGGAGGAGATTTTCTTTTTCCCTCATATTTTAAACTCACATTTTTTAAAATCTACCAGTTTTTTGTTTTGTTTGTTGAAATGATTTATTGGAAGAGAAAAAGAACGTGACAAGAGAGTAAGGGAGCAAGCAAGCGATGAAACAGATTTACAGAAACCAGGTAGATCAAGTGAATATTTAAACTGCACCTACAGTTGAGATGGCATTGATATTGTGTCATTAAAAAAAAACGTCATAGAATTTAAAAATTATGTAACATTTTATTGCATGCATTAGTTTTTTATATTCTTTACATGTCTTAAAAATTCAAGTTTTTGGCTAAAAATGATATAATCATAATGTTAAGCTACTGCTAGATCTGTAAGATAAGGTTACCAGCTATTCGTTTTCTAGTATGCGTGCGGGGAGCTCAAACAATTGACAAAATCCAAGTCAATTACAGAGGGAATGAAACAAGGGAGACGAATCTTGTCATAATAATAAAAATAAAAATGTATGGGTGACTTCCCCTATTAAACACATCGTTGCCGTGCAAGCAAATCGTACTATAATAACTATATATATCATCATATATGTCAAGGAAATCGAGATGTTCGATTTATGAAGTAGCGAATTAATTAGTTCCGTGTTTTTTAATATATATATATATATATATATATATATATATATATATATATATATATATATATATATATATATATATATATATATATATATATATAATATCAAATCGTATTTTAAAAAAAAATTACTACATAAAAGATATGTTCGGCGTTTCAGTTATTTTTATTACAATTTTTTTTTCTTCTAAAATTATAGAAGAAAGACATAATAACTGTGTTCTACCTTTGTGGAAGATATAGATCTACCCTTTTTTAATAGTAATGGAAACAACGGGAGAATACATTTTTAATAAACAGATTTAACTGTTTTATTAAAGTACATTATTCAACATATTATAAATAAAGATGTATAAATAAAACCAGCATTGCTTGACAAATTTCAACACGCTGGAAACTTTATGTAACTTCCACAGCCAATTAAACGGAACGAATCTTATACGTGGGCAAGGGAGACAATTAATGAAGGGAGATAACGCTTAGACTGTTAAGAGAAAAAAATCTGGATTTAATTAAGTAATTAATTGGCTGATTATTTACATGTTGCTGATTAAATTTTCCATTAAAAAAATTATAAAAAAACTAAGCCACCTCGTTATACTATTAAGAAGCAATTAATTCAAGCTCAAACACTTCAACATTTCAAGTATCAAGTTCAAAATAACTATTACAGAATTATAATACAGTTCTATTAAAAAATTAAATAAAAATTACGAATGCATTCAGAAAATAAAGTTGGAATCTTTAAAGAAAGTTGATATTTTTTAAAAAGCTATAAAATGTGAACTTCAAGTGGCAAAAAGAAGATAAATGCCTTTGATGTGTGAAATGGAAATGTGCTAGGAACTAGATAGGCGGCGCATGAGACAAAAGTTGACGCGTTACATGCTGCTGATAGGTACCCATCTCTCCCCACACACCAATATACCACACACCTAACCAACTACACGACAATATACCGCACACTTAACCAACTACACGACAATATACCACACACATAGTCAACTAAACGCCCATATACCACACACTTAACCAACTACACGACAATATACCACACACTTAACCAACTAAACGCCCATATACCACACACATAATCAACTAAACGCCCATATACCACACACTTAACCAACTACACACTAATATACCATACACTTAACCAACTACACGCCCATATACCACACAGATAACCAACTACACCCTCACTAAAACTATTTTATGCTGCTGAAGGGTACCCCCCCCCCCCACACGCCGATATACCTCACACTAAGGCTAACCAACTACACCAATAGGAAATGAAGTTGACATACCGATTAAACAAGTACGCCTTTTAATACTACCAGTTGTGTGAGTGATTGCCTTAAACGATACTTACTCTTAAGTTTAAAGTTTAAGTATCGTAAATGCTAGACAAGTTGTACAAAAAGGAGGCCCTGGCCTATAGACTAGTACCAAATTAATACACCCCCCCCCCCCCACCAATCCACACCTTTAATGTCCCAGACTTGACGTAAAACCCACACCAGCAGAAAGTATTCGTGGCTGGGCTACATGGAACAAGTTGGTGAAGTTCAGGTTACATTAAGCAATGTTGGTTGGCTCGCTTCACCCAAACATTTTTACAGCACAGGAATCCAGGGATACCAGTTTTTAGTCCTCAATACAAGTCGCAGACAAATTCTTGCGTATATTTCAAGTTTAAATAGTAAACCAAACACCCTATCCCCCTCCCCCTTCACACAACACTTACATATTTTTTTTATACCAAGATCTAAAAAATTAGAGTAGTTGATTCGTTACTTTGCGAGCAAACACAACCGTAACTTGAACCAGTGATAATAGATTTGATATCGGCGATGATGTCTTGATCTATATTTATATGATGAAGAGTTATGAGTACACGATGATCGTCATACAGAGTCGAGTTATCGTTACTTGATGTAGTTAGCTCAACATGATGCACAGTTATCGTTACTTGATGTAGTTTTCACATGGTGCACAGTTATCGTTACTTGATGTATTTATCTTCACATGGTGCACAGTTATCGTTACTTGATGTATTTATCTTCACATGATGCACAGTTATCGTTACTTGATGTAGTTTTCACATGATGCACAGTTATCGTTACTTGATGTAGAGCTATCACAGCAGTATGCCGATTTGACATTGCTAGAAGCAAGGTGGTTATTACGGCTCGTTATTACATAAGTAATGTTTTTTTTTTACAAAGTAAATATAAACTGAACAAAGTGAGTGGCTTGTGAAAAACAAATGAAAGACTAGCACTCCCAGAATCTGGCAGGCGATTGCTGCAAGTCTGGTCCTGGTGTGTTGTCCAGGTGGCTCCAACTGACCTGGTACCAGGCGGCGTGTTGTTGAAATGTTGCTACCTGCGGAGGTGCCAGACAAACCCCCAGGTAAACTCAGGTGCGGAGCTCAGGTACTATCATCACGCGCAGCCTGTGGCTCTGTAAACCTTAATGTAATCTTTTCTTAACTCAGGTAGGATATTACATTAGATGGCCATATATATATATATATATATATATATATATATATATATATATATATATATATATATATATATATATATATATATATATATATATATATATGTGTAAGAGTATAATTGTATAAAAGATCAAAATAAGGAATCTAGGTCTTGATTCAAAGCAAGAAAAATACAAAATTTGACTAAAAAAACCAACAACCTCTAAAACGACACGGGGAGATAACTCTCATCTAATCACGTGACAAACAAGATCAGATTTCTCAGTGGTTAAGATAAAAAAAAAGTTGTCTAGAAGAGCACTGGACTTCAAAAAAAAAAAAAATCTTGG